GCTGTCAGCGCCCCCCGCAGGCTGCATTAAACTGAGCTGTCAGCGCCCCCCGCAGGCTGCATTAAACTGGGCTGTTTACAAGAGACAGCAGAATCTTTTTAACATCATCTTATCTGCTACCTGCTTCATGATCAACATGTTTGAGGGATAAATGAAAAGCTAAAAGACGTGTTTATCAAGCACCAGAATGTAATCATGACATCACTATATGTACATACATCAATAATGTTCCACTGACTGAGGCATAACCTGAAAAACAGCTGCAGCCCTGAAATTACTCATGAATAATTATATCATTAATCAATTATCAGACAAACCTGGAGCTCAATGAGCAGAAACCAGAGCGACAGATCAGCTGTTAAAGTATAACTGAAGACTATTATGACAAACTAGCAGCTCAGCGGACAAAGTTTCAGGTCCTACCAGCTCCTCTCTGAACACCGCCTTCCTTCCCGTATGAAACCTTCCTCCTCCTTTGCTCACCAGGTACTGGTAGTCGGCCTCCACCTTGTAGCGCTTCTTCATCTCGACGTCCAGCTGGTTTCGAGCGTGTTTCAGTTTGACCTCCAGAGCAGCTTTGGAGACGTCGGACTTCACCAGCAGCTCTTTGTACTTCTTCAGCTCCAGCTCAGCGTGAAGCCACTTCTTCCTGACCGACTCGCAGCTCTTCACGACCTCGATGAACTCTGACCAGATCAGAGGGGCGAGAAACAGGCAGCGTGAAGTCGTGTTGTTGTTGTTGTTGAACTGTGTTGTTGTGTTGTTGTTGTGTTGCGTTCTCTCACCCAGCTCAGTGTTCATGTTGTTCTCCTCCATGTTGATTCTCTGCAGACACAAAACCAGAAGCTCCTCCACAATGTGCCGGGACTCCGCCATCACTGTTAGGGTTAGTTAACGCGTTAGTCTGGCTTAGTTAGGTTTAGTTGACCATTTAGTAGTTTGGACTACTAGTTATGGTTATGGTTAGGGTTGTGTAAGCTGTTAGTCTGGTTTTTTAAATCTGTCTCGATAACTTCCCCTGTCGTGTCCGATGACAAAGCAGTTTGGGGTAGGAAGTAAAGGCAATGCACTGGCCGTCGCACGTCGTCAATGCTTTCCGTTCACCGTGTTGTAGGTTAGTGTGGGTTAGTTAAGACAGCTAGTTAGGACTACTAGTCACTACAGATGAGGTTGCATCTCCCTTTTTCTGATGATAACACTACAGTACATTCAAGGCATTAAAATCAGCAGAACTGCAGCAGCATGTGGAGCAGTGTGTCTGTGTTCACTGGTTCCCGGCTGGTTAGCGGCTGGTTAGCGGCTGGTTAGCGGCTGGTTCCCGGCTGGTTCCCGGCTGGTTCCCGGCTGGTTAGCGGCTGGTTAGCGGCTGGTTTGCGGCTGGTTTGCGGCTGGTTGCCGGCTGGTTGCCGGCTGGTTACCGGCTGGTTTGCGGCTGGTTACCGACTGGTTGCCGGCTGGTTGCCGGCTGGTTTGCGGCTGGTTTGCGGCTGGTTACCGGCTGGTTGCCGGCTGGTTGCCGGCTGGTTACCGGCTGGTTTGCGGCTGGTTTGCGGCTGGTTGCCGGCTGGTTGCCGGCTGGTTACCGGCTGGTTTGCGGCTGACAGCGCTGCTGACTTTCAGCGGTGTTTCCTTTGAGCTGTGCAGGGCGTCTCTGGCTGAGTTAGCAGACTCACACAGTCGGACCTGAGACTGACCTGGATCGAAGGAGCCACATCAGATGGCAAAACCTACGCACTAAATGCAATGTTATGTCACCGTAATTCAACAATACAACCTGTTAGTAGGCATAGCATTAAAAATAAAGGGTCACAAACAGGTGTCCCTCCCCAGTGTTGCTGTGGCAACGTGCTGGATTTAGCCGTTACCATGGAGAATCACAATAAGGATCAACCCCGCTGCTGCGTACGACCACCCGCCGACACTGAACAAGGTCATTACGTCTTGACGTTTGCCTTTCCAGTATCTTGATTGGATGACTTGAGGTGACACTGGCTGAGCCGCTGGCCGTCCAGACATGCTCACCGTGACTTCAGCACTTCATCACTGAAGCAGATGCTGATGGGCCGTCCTCAGTGGGTCCAGAGGGTCATCCGCAAATGTTTAGAACAAAATCGTCTTGGTCACACAATCAGTCTTTTTATTCCATTGTTGTTCTGGATAAAATATTCTTCATCGATTATTACTCTCTAAAGACCGACTTTTTTCCACGTCATCATTTTACGGCGGCATAGAGCTCCACAGCGACACCTGGTGGGCCACATGCAGAGACAACACGGGAAACACGGACCCTCCGTCACAACAAACAGGTGAGGGTTTCGCTCAGTGCTCCTCGTTAACCGCAAACGAACAGCATCATGTGATGGGTTCTGGTGAGAAGCTCATTAAAAGCCCAGATGCTGCCTGAATCTGAAGCTGAACTCTGGCACTTTGGGCTCAGACAGTAAAAACCTGTTTTCTTTCTGATTGTTGCTTCAAATGTCTCTCCTGTTAAAGTTTCCTCCAGCTTCACCTGAGTGAGCTCCGGCTCAGGTACCACAGCAGCAGAACCGAGCCTCCTGCTGCTGGAAATGCTTTCACACACATTTTCTCTGCATCTTCCAACAAACTGTGTGACAGTAAAGTCAGGTGGAAATAATCCTGCATCACACAGAAGCAGCTGCTTTTATCACACAGTCAACGTTCAACAACCCGCAAAGTGTTTATTTACAGAAATACAGCCGGATTTAGAAGCAGACAGTGAAAGAAACTCCGAAAGAAACCACAGCGAGCTGATCAGACGGTAGAACCTGTCTGAACCAGAGAAAATACACAAAATACACAAAACACAGCTGCAGTGTTGTATCGGGTTGGTTCTGACTCATCTGATGGGTTCTGCAGTATCATATGAAACACATTTACTCATCAATAGTTTCTAATCTCAAGGATTTTTAAGTTAAAAATGTTTTTTATTAAAGTTTCTAAAGGACATCGGGGTGAGATAGAGCATCAGGCTCCATCACCGGACTGTGTGCAACACCTTCCTGTATCCAGTGTTGGTATTATTGTTGTTATTATTGTTGTTGTTGTTGTTGTTGTTGTTGAATATTTACTGTTGTTGCTGATGTTGTGTTGGTGTTGTGTTGTTTTGTCCAGTACAACAATTTCCCTGAGGGGATCAATAAAGTTTTATTCTATTCTATTCTAATCGATATTTCAGTGTTACCACGTGACTGCAGCGGATCAATACTCGGATCGATACTGCTGAATCACGTTCACTACAGAACTGATCGGAACCCGAACCCTCCACAGCTGAAGCTTCCCCTTCATTTCAGTTTGAACTGAAGCTTCACCTGAACGCACCTCCGGGACGGCACGTGTCCGTGGACCGAACAAGAGCCGACAGTTACCTGTAAAGTCCACTCAGGTGTTTCTTCTTCTGCGGTCTCTGCTGCGTCTGGAGTCGCTTTGAGATCCGGCGGGTCCAGGACGAGACGCGCTGCTGCTGCTGCCGGTTCGTCTGCTCCTCTACCTGGACATCCTGGGCTCCACCTGAGCGCTGATCAGGCGGCAGCGTCAGTTTAAAGCGACGTCAGGTGAAGATGACGTCACACTGCGTCACCTGAGCTTTGTTTGATTTCAGCGGAGAGCTGAGATGAATGAAGAGGAGTTCATGGTGATGAGGAGTTCATGTTTTTACTGAGGATTGAAGGAGTTGAAGAAGCTGAAACGATTGAAATGAGATGAACCAGAATCAGTGATGAAGTGTCCTCATCACCACATCCATCCATCCATCCATCCATATATATATATGTGTGTGTGTGTATATACACATGCAGACACTCCTGATCAAAATCTTAAGACCAGTTAAAAAACTGCATGAATTTGCATTTTGCACTGTTGGATCTTAGGAAGGTTCTAAGTAGAGCTTCAAAATGCAAAAAGAAGAAACAGGAACAAGAGACCAGAAGCTGTGAGCCGGCAGTTTATTGAAACAACAATTTAACTCCAACAGG